TTAGAAACTCTTTGGTCGGTCCATGCAAATGAATTTAAACTTTGAATTTGGATCTTCTAAATTTGAACGTTAGAGAGTTAGAGCATCTCGAGGTCTCTCATTGAGCCCATTTGATTGCAAAATAAGCCCAAATTATAAATGCTGGATTCGAAACGACAGCGTTTGTGTACGGATTCGAAGTTCTCCCAGCCGTCGGATGATAGGCGATCGAAAGATTATCAACCGTTGGATAAATACGACAAGATTCCGATGCGACCAAGAAGTCTCTCTCAAAAGTCAGACACTCATTCTGCAATCGCGCGAATCCGATCAGATCGAAGATGTCTGCTACTCAGGAAGAAGACAAGAAGCCCGGAGACGACGGAGCTCACATCATTCTCAAGGTCAAGAGCCAGGTTTTGTCACTGTGTTCTCTTTCTCCGTTTTTGTCTAGTTCTTACAGTTTCTTGTACGATTCTTTGTTCGTTAGTGTCGATTATTATGTCTACAATAATCGTTATCAAATTTTCTGGAACTGTATTAGTTTAAATTGGTAAGCTTGGGTATGATGAAGAGGCATGGATTATCTTGACGTTAAGTGAATTAAACAGAAACTAAAATTCTTTGAGTTGTGAATTATGTTTTGTGAGCATTCAGGACTTGTTTGTATATACCAAACTTTTTGTATGCATGGTTGTATCATGGAGAGAGTGGTCATATGTGTTTGTACTACTTTTTTCTTTAGATTGCTGTAGTGTTGTGTTTACAGATAATATGTGCAAGTCTCATGAAAGCATTTTGTCTTTATGCATTTGAGTAAGAAAAGCTTTTGAGCTTTGACGAAAACTTTGATAATACTCTTCTGAAAAATGTGATGATTTGAAGTAAGAATCATTAATCTTTTTCTTAATACTCACAGGATGGGGATGAAGTCTTATTTAAGATCAGAGGAAACACTCAGCTGAAAAACCTGATGTACGCTTATTGCGACCGCCGAGGTTTGAAAATCGACGCATTCTCTTTCTTTTTCGATATGCGTCGTCTCCGTCGTGAACAGACTCCAGATGAGGTAAATGAATCTCTTTCTCTCATCAAGGGTTTCCCTTTTACAATCTTCCGTTTTTCAAATTGCATAATCTTTTAAACCAAGAATCTCAACTTTTATAGCTTGATATGAAAGATGGAGATGTCATCGATGCGTTTCGACCGATGAGTGGTGGTCTAAGAGCAAATCAGCTTCAGTGGTCTTATATGATTTTTGATAAGATTGAGTGATATTCAGATACCACGTGGTTCGCAGATCT